TCCGTGAGTCATTTGGTACCGGTGTTGTGCCAAAAAGTGATTGTCTGCCAAAAACTGATTTCCGGTATTTGCCAAAAACTGATTGCTCGTATTTAAATTGCTATAAGTAACTTGTTGGGCTATAATATGTGAAACATATGTCAAATGCATCCCTTATGGATGACATAAAGTCATCTTGAGCCACAAACAACATTCGTGTAACAAGGTAGAAGCCGCAATCAGTTTTTGGCAGTGACTTTAACCTTTATTTATGCAGTTAAAAAATCTCATTAACATTAAAAATGTCTTTTGTAAGAGTAAGTTGGCCAAGAGCACAGCAGAAATGGTAGCAAATAGTTCTGTAAAAATATTTAAGTGGGGATAAAGGGCCAGATTGGTTATAAAGTAACACAGAGTTGTAAAGATACGTGAAAAACGGATAATTTTTTAATTCTCTATATAACCCCTTTGTAAACCCTGTTCACCGAAGTCTATTTACGAACATACGTAAAGATATTACACATAAAAAATACACAGAAACATTGGAAATCACTTTTTGGCACAACACCGGCCGCGAGAGTTGAGGCTCGGGTGTGAAATGTATGGTTTTCAGGGTTTTTATCGGTTTTCAGCGTTACTTTGTTATCGTTAACTTGGTTTTCCTGGGTCTTTTCACGTGTTTTATGAATAAATCTTTTTTTTTTTTTCGGTACCGGTACTAGTTTTATTTTGTTGTATTTATCCGCGACAACTTAAAGGCCGGTCCATGAAAATATTTTCGGGCATAAACCGGTCCGTACGTGGCGCAAAAAGGGTTGGGGACCGCTGGTGTAAGGTACCAGTTAGTGTAAAAAAACAAAAACCCAAATTAAATAAAAATAAATTAATGAAATAATCCTATAATGAAAAATATTACAAATGAAAAATCTATTTATCTAAGCAGAATATGTCTGCACAGTGTTATATTTTAGGAGTTTTCACAGTTCACAGTATTAAATTGGTGGGACACCTGAGAATGAGGACTAACTGTGCTACATCTGTTTTTACAGGGCTTCCAAAAGCAGCTGTGCTTAAACACGAGAGGGTTTGGAGGGGAAGTTTTCTCCTGACCTTTGCTGGTGTGCGCTCAGATGATGTCATCTACATAAATCTCCCTCTGTATCACAGTGCTGCTTTTCTTATGGGACTTTGTGAAACTATAGAAAGAGGTAATACATGAAACATTACCTAAAAATAAAACCACAAATCAAGATTTCACCTGAATTTATTGCAGGTTAAACCAACATATACATGACCTCAAACTACACCCGCTTCCATTGTTTGTACTTTGAAGTCCTAAAGTTCGCCTTGCAGAGTTTACAACACTGAACTCTTAGCATGAAGCGGCATATTTGCTGAACTCTGTATCTTTCTATTTTTAGGCACCACTGTTGTTTTGAGAAGCAAGTTCTCTGCCTCCAACTTTTGGAATGACTGTAGAAAGTACAATGTGACTGTCATCCAGTACATAGGCGAGGTTATGCGCTACCTCTGCAACACACCAAAGGTAAACACAAATTTAAGGTCATAGTGATGACAATATTGGGATATGCATTAGAAGCTCAAACTGTTTTAATGATTTCTACCAACCTGCTTCAGTCAGGAGCATTGTTTCTTATGGTCATTGTTTATGTTCTCACCTCTCCTTTGGCCTTCTTTTAGAGAGACAATGACAAGGATCATAAGGTCCGACTGGCTGTAGGGAACGGAATAAGGGAAGACACCTGGGTTGAGTTCCTGGAGCGATTTGGGAACATTTGTATCCGTGAATGCTACGGAGCAACTGAAGGGAATGTTGGCTTTATCAACTATGGTGGGAAAGTTGGAGCTGTTGGCAGAGAACATTTTCTCTACAAAGTAAGATGTAATAATAATAATAATAATACATTATATTTATAGGCACCTTTAAGACCCTCAAGGTCACAAAAAAGTAGCAACAATACAACAAATATTGCAAAATAAACTTTAAACATAAGGTAAATGAGGGGAAAAAAGCCAGCATGAAAGTATGAAAAGTAAGCAAGGTAAAAATAGACCGAGACGGAATCAAGGGTATGCAATTCTGAATAGATGGGTTTTGAGACGTGATTTCTAATTAATGAGAGAGTTTGTAGTCCAGAGATCTGGTGGAAGTGCATTCCAAAGTCTCGGGGCAGAATAACTAAAGACTCTGAGTCCCATGGTAGTCAGGCGAGCAGGTGGAAGAGACCGAAGGGAAGCTGAAGAAGAGCGGAGTGTACGAGGGGATGAGTATGTATGGAAAGATCGGATAAATATGGAGGCGCAAGGTTGTGAAGATGGATAGATGTGAAAAAGAAAAGCACACCCTCTTTCAATTCTAAAGTTACATAATTATAAAACGATAACATTAGTCCACCTTTCTTTATAATGTCACTTCAAGTTGCTTCAGTTGTCAGACAGATGGTCTCACATTTGACTCTAGAATACTTTGGTATACGGAGGAGTTCATGGTCAACTTAATGACTGCAAGATGATCAGGTCCTTTGGCTGCAAAACTAGTCCAGACCATCTCCTCTTCACCATCCTGCTTCACAGTTTTTATGCTGTGCTTGCTTTTCACAAAATATGCCACTGTGTACAGTCCATTTTCCCAAAGGTCTTGTGGTTTGTTCAGATGAATTTTGCAAACCTAAGCCATGCTTAGAAGAACCATGGCTTAAGTCATAGCTTTTTTAGAGAAACGTTTTGTCACTCAAGTAACTTCAGTCTCAGCTGAATGCAACAACCTTATAATGGCTGAAACTAGTGCCACTGGTGGACAATGGGCTGTGAGTCTCTGTGAGGCCAGTGAGCCTTTTTTCAGAGGTTAACTGGACCTCTGTATATGGAGATGTGGCATGATTTATATGACTAACTGCTTATTCTGTTCAATGTATCTGTAAACTGTTTCAGATGGCATGCAAATATGCCCTCATAAGGTTTGACACAGAAAAAGAGGAGCCAGTCAGAGACTCCAGAGGATTTTGTGTTGAAGTCCCAAGAGGTGAGCCTGTCTCTTAAGGTGCCGCCTTGCCTTTTAAGCTGCTATTTAAACGTATACTGTTACTTTTACTCGCAGGAGAAACTGGTCTGCTTGTGGCAAAGATTGGAAAAAGAACACCCTTCAGTGGCTATGCCAAGGGCAAGCAGCAGACAGACAAAAAGAAGCTAAGAGATGTGTTCGAGAAGGGCGACATGTACTTTAACAGTGGCGACCTTCTAAAGATTGACGACGAGGGATTCATCTTCTTTCAAGACCGCATTGGAGACACTTTCAGGTCTGTGAAACATAATAAATGAATTTGACAATCTGGGTGAAAGGTCAGGACAAGGAGTACCAGAGAGTGTTTTTTGTCTTAAAAGCACAACTTAGTGTGACCCCCAAAAAGTTGATTCTGTTAATCTGGACGTAGCGTTTTCAGTGGGAGAAACGTTATGTCACTCATCCAAGTGACTGCACTCAAACCAGCGTTCCTCCCCGTCCAGGATGTGTACATCGTCATCATTGAAAGAGTGTCCACTGCCCTGCAAATGTATAAATCCTGGCAATCCTCCTGGCACTTTACAGCATACACTATATTACTCTGTTTGTGTTGGGGAAACCGATCCGTGGGGTGGACCAATGTTTGGTGCAGCGTGTTTTGGGGTTTAAAAGCCACAGAGACTCAGTGTTTAGAAAAAATGCGTCTCAACTGATCCAATACTACTGACACATACGGGATCAATACGGGTTTGCGCTTAGGCAGCAGTTGTCCTTCTGTCTGGAACAGCTGGATGAATGTTTAACAGATTGCTTACAATCTGGGGTTATAGTTGTAAAATAAGGCCAGAAAGTTTACTTCTTCACTTGAAATAGAATTTAAGCTATGGAAAAAACAGTAAAACCCTCAAGTTTAGGATATATCATATATAATTTCAGAATTACGGACACTGTGGTGAGTCTAATCTAATTGCTTTCAGTATTTTATTCTTTATAGTTAAACCTAAACATCTTTGATGAACTATTATCTCAGTGTTTTAGGGAAGTTTGTTACTTTTGTGTGTCCCTGCTGAAAAAAGATACACTGCAGCTGAGTTCTGCAAATACTCTGTATTATATGTGTTACAGGTGGAAAGGAGAAAATGTGGCAACCACGGAGGTGGCTGACCACCTGCTCACAGTTGACTTTGTTGAAGAGGCTAATGTCTATGGTGTGAAGGTGCCAGGTAATAATGACACTAAAAGCAAGATTATTGTGATGTATGTCTCATAAATATTACAAACATCCTTTTTTTCCAGAATTCTAAGAAAAAAACTCAGAATTCAGAAGTTTTTTCTTGGAATTCTGAGATTAATCGCATATTTCTGACATACTGAGGAAAAACTCTGAATGTTTTGATTAATGTCTGGATTCTGAGGGTATTTGTTCTTCTTTTTACTTTGACCTTCACTGAATAGGACACGAGGGAAGAATTGGAATGGCAGCGCTGAAACTGAAAGAAAATATGGACTTTGATGGCAAAGCTTTATATCAGCATGTCAAAAACTACTTGCCCAGCTACGCAAGACCACGCTTCGTTCGCATACAGGTAAATAAAGTTCAATGAATGATCACATTAAGATATATCTGCATACATCTTAGCAATAATCCCGTAACCATTTCATTTTTCTCTGGCAGGATGCATTGGTAGTGACGAGCACCTTTAAGCAGATGAAGGTGAAGCTGGCAGAGGAAGGTTTTAACCCTGCTCTCATCAAGGATCCTCTGTTTTACCTGGAAGACAATAAGGGCTACATACCCATGACTCAGGAGTTATTCAACTGCATTGCAGAAGGAAGACTCAGGCTTTAAACGAGTTCAGCGCTGATTTTTTTATTGTCAGTCTCAAAAACATTAGTGTTTACATTAATCTTTACATTGTGGATATACAAACATATAATGGCATGCATTTCATTTTTTTATATTTCAACTGTTTAGTCTGAAATACTTTCTTTTTTTTAAAATGATTTTTATATGAGTAAATCCCATATCGCCGACACTGTTATTTGGTGACTGTGTTGGTTGACTGTGTGCTGAAGTAAACTGCTTATCAATCAATAGGTGAATTATTGTGTGGATGTGAGGTACACTTTGTGCTGGTTTTGGGCTCGTCAGAGGAGTTTAGGAGCAGTGGAAGTTTCCAGTGGTGTAGGAGGGGGGGCTGTGTTTGTTACAGCAGAGGAAGACATACAGTTCACTCTTCTGCAGGTGGAGGGTAAGTGCTTTTGAGCTGCTGGAGAAACCTTCAGAGGGCAGCAGAGCTGGTGCCGACCACACTGCACCCACTGGTTACAGAAGCTGGGAACGCTGTAGAACTTTGTCAGCTTTTTCAGGACCTGTTTTCCCAGATCATTTGAAGGCATCTCCTCAATATTTATTGTCGCACCAGCTCCTGTTGTTGAAGGCACAGGAAGGCCACCAGCAGCATCTTCGACTATAGGCCTTGTTTCAAAATCATAGCCACACAGGGACCTGATATAAGTGTAAGGCAGGGGCTCGCTGCTGCAGCTAAGAGATCGCATTGGTCTTCTAGACCGATTCCAAGCTTTGTCAATCCACAACTCCACTTGAGCTTTTTCCAGCCTGGCAACAGCATCCTCTTTCTCATCAGACCCGGTGTCTAAGACCGGGTCTTGGTATTCTTCATCACCTATTACATCATCTTCCCCTGATTGTGACTGGTCTGCATAATTCAAACCCTGTGTCTCAGCCAGGAGAGTGGAAGCTGTTTTACAGATAATGCCCCAGTCCCTGAGGATGTCATCGGCAGTAGTGTACTGTGAGGTCACCGTAAACCGGATGATGCGTTTGGTATAAATATCCGCAGGAATGAGGTACATGGTGCCTGACCGGGTCAGTCTCCTCAGCAGCTCCTGGGTCAAAGTGTTCCCTCCCAACAAAAAGAAGATACAATAAAATGTTTATAAGTCTTTGTGTAAAGCCACAAAACCCTTACTAACACATCTGTGTTTACCCTTTTCCTACTATTTTTGCCATTTCATCTGGGAACTAGCTGACCACATTCAGGTATATAACAAACCACCATTGAACAAGGCGTAATAGGGACTTCTTAGCACATGTCAGTAATGATTTTCTGGTGAAAACTATAAGGTCAACATATTTATAGTTTACTGCACAATTCAGGTACAAGGACAAGTTGCATACTTTCAGGCAGAAGACCACCAGGCCGAGGTGCCTCTTAGCAGGAACCTCAAAATCTGTGTTGCTCCTAATATGAGACTCCAAGAGTTTTGCCATCTCAATCCCCTAAAAAAACCCCAAAGCAAACAAACAAAACTTCACATTAAATACACTTTCTATAATGGAAGTCTAATATTGATATCTATTTTAGAAGAATGCCACTTACATGTCTGATATGAGCCTGGAGGTTTTTCAATCCAAAGGAGCGCAGAACAAACCAGAGCTTCAGAGCACGGAAGCGTCGACTGAGAGGTATTTGCCAGTGCTGAACCAAAGAAAAAAAGTAGTGTTCAGATGAGACTGTAACATTTTGAACTGGTGAATAAGTGATGATGACGAACCATAAAGTCGGTGGCTGCCAGTGAGTTTTCATGTCTGAGGTAAACAGGATCAACACTGAAGGTCTGCTGGAGCTTGTATTTATCCTTTACCCTGAGATCAACAGTTAATTAAATCACCAGCTTAAAAGCATTCTTCTGTTTAAATTTGCACTTTGTCAGATGTAATTTTGCAGATATTATAGAGACAGAGTTGAGGTATGGCTTAAATGTCTCTACTCACCAGAATGCTGTGCAGTCAAAATGGACCATCATCCACTTAGAAGGGTTGAAAACAAAAGAGTGCGCAAATTCAATGCCCTTCATTGACCAGCGGAGCTCCGGACAAAAGTAGGCAGAGCCAGCATACGCGGCATCAACATGGAGCCAGAGTCCCTCTTCCTCACCTGCAAAAAGATTTCAATTTCACTTCTAACTTCATCTTATGTATGCAAAGAAAAAAAAAAAGTCTGACTCTGCAGTATGATTTGGAAGTAAAATTAAAAGACACACAGACTGGTCCCAGTTCCGATAGCTTATCGAAGGCACACGCTCCAGTAGTTCCCAGAGTTGAACACAGCTGAAAATGACAGAATGGGTCAGATGAGATCCAACATGCAACACGGGTTTGTTGTGTACTTTTGAAGCTAAAAATCACAGTTTCCTCATGATATGAGATGATATACAAGTGTCCCGATTAATGATGTACAACATTTTGCTACTTATTTTCATATTTTTTTCCAAGTTTAAAAAGAAATTATTCGGACAATTTTTCAGTTTTAAAAGAAATGAAGCTGAACTTCAACTTCCAGACATTTGATTTTCTTTAAATGCACCATCAAAAAAATAGATTGTAAAACAGATCTGCATGCATCTGTGTTTGCCATGCAGCAGAAAAATCAAACAAAGGCACTGATTGGCTGATGCTACAGTCTGCCGATTCTGATTTTTATATACTGCAGCGTTAGTATATGCTTTTAAAAATGTGATGGGTATTGTGGCACATATTAGGTAAGCTACTAGATTCAAAACAATATGGAGATTCTTAAATTCTCTGCAGAAATGTCCCATTGAGGTTTCAAACACACATACCAGGAAGGGGACAAGTCCTCTTGCCCTGTCTTCTTGTATGGCTTGTTTCAAAGTGTCTCCTCTCAGAGACAACTCGTCATCGGTCGGCAGAAACCTGATCTTCACCAGTGAGATCAGTCCTGCCTTTTCAACTGATGAATGAGCCTATAAAAGCAACATCTGATCAGTTTTACGGTTCAGTTTATCAGGCTGATAGGAAGCTCCTGTGCAGCTTACCTGATCCGAAGCGTAGGCCACTAGTCTTGAGTTTATGACGGAGTCGTCCACGTCCTGGTCAAGCTCGGCCCGCAGCTGCAGGATTTTATCTTTCCTGGCTGCCAGCAGAGCAACCAGTGTGCTCTCACTGACTGTACTCTGACGAGAGAGCCAAGTAGGTCAGAAACACAATGAGGCCCCGAAAGACTGTAAACTTCGTGGCTCTAGAGCAAACAGATTAGGATGTTGCACACCTGCAGGATGCCTCCACCTCTGCTGTCAGGATGGTAGTGAAGAAAGAAAGAGGGGAGCTCTAGTGCTTTACACAGCCAGTCCATCACATTCATTTCCAGCTCTGTGCATGCTGGGCTTGAGGCCTGAAAAAACAAGCAAATAAGACATCACTGAAGCAGATGGTAGCATGTGATTGATTGTCTTTTTGGTCATTGCGTACCCAAGTGAACCCAACACAGTTGATTGCATCTGCCAGCATATCCCCGAGCATAGAGGGCCATGAAGTCAGACTGGGATAGTAGGCGTGCATGTGAGGGCTCTGCCAGTGAACCACCTGGGCAGAGAGATAGGAAAACACTCGCTTGCCATAAATGTATTTCATGATCATTTCAGTGAACTGAACAAGCAAGGTGTTCAGTGTGACACTTACCCCTGGCATGATGACCTTCTCAATGTCATTGAAGATATTCTCCCAGTCCTCCGGCTCCGTAGGTGCAGCCTCAGGAAGAAGCTGCCTCATGTAGCCAGGTTTCACATCAGGAATGACCCTCCTCTCCCTGATGGAGCCCAGGTACTTTGTGATGTAGTCCACCATCTCCTTACCTGATCAATAAGAGATCACTGCAAGTTATTCATATTCATTTTCTTTATTATGTGCTTGTTGGCATTTGAAGTTAAATATCAACATCATCCAAAATGAGTCCATGATTACCTCTGCGATTGTATTCCTCAGCTTGCATTTTCGGAGATGAGACCTCTTCGAGTTACTTTGTCGTGTGTAACAGGTGACTGCAGTGAGGCTTTGTGTATTTGGGAGCAGAGATTACACCACTATATAGATCCTGTTGTGAAGAACACGCCCCAAATTGGTGACGCATTTGAACCACAAGGCAAATGTCTTTCATGTATTTTTTCCATCACTGGCTTCACATTTGCACTAAATATTTACTTTCCTCTTGCAGCCGGAGATTTAATTTTTTTTCATATCCACGTGAAATGATACAGGATTAGAACAATATAATCAATAGTGTAATAGGTTATATAAAATTTATGAAGAATTCTTTTTCACCATTACACCTGAATCCCTCTGTAATGCAGAAAAATAATTTATGTGTCAAATCAGATTATACAGAGACCCTTATATTTTCAAACTGGTGTTCAGGCCCCCTCACAAGGTTTCTGCTTTTTTTTTTGTGTGCGTGTGTGTAAATTATATATTTGGTGACATCTCTCTGACCCTTAATCTTTAGGGAAACACAATTCGATACAATTAACCTCCAGTCTCATTTCCTCCCCTCTTCTTACTCCAACAGGTTATGAATGATGATGGATCATGATGAGCGATATTTTCAATGTATGATGACTCTTCACAAAGTAATAAAAGTAAAAAAATAAATAAACAAACAATAAATGTAAACACAGTAAAAGGTACTGGGATGATGAGGGAAAACCATTTATGTCATTAGCTTATTGCAGCCTTTTAAACCCTGACAAAAGCCTGAGCAGCACCTGGACTGTTCGCACACTGCACTGTTTACTATGCATTGTGCTCAGCATGTGATAGCTCTCATGTGGTGCTCTGGGGAAACCAGTCGCTGGATGACAATCGAGCCACAATTCAAACCTACAAAGCACGCATTATTGGTAAGTCACCGAGAGAGAGCAAGCACACTGAAATTAATAACATGTTTATCTAAGACATATGTAAACATATCTAATCAATCAATGAATTCACGAATCAAAAATGAATAACTGGCAAGCAACAACGGAAGATTTATTTTTTTACTCTTTCATTTATTTTAATTCATTTGTAGTTATTTTTTGTAACACACTGTGCACGCTTGTACTTGATTAAACTTTACCATTAACCATTTACTGCTCTCTAATAATAGTATAATTCTTTCACTTAAAATGTCATTAGTTTTGTCACATAAGATGAAAAGAACCACACAAAGTTAAAGAAATCCATAAATGCACTTGCATGAGTGTTTATTCTATCATTTCCTTCATTAAAGCTGCGAACAAGCAACTTCGCATGGAAGCTTCTAATCAAATGTGCCTGGTTTGAGAGCAAGAAAAGGCTTCATCACTGAACTTCTCCACATTCCCAGCGTGGTTCCAGAGATACACACAGGCTGTTCTTTGCTGCAGGTACTGTGACACACTTTTAGTGGCAAAGGTGAGGTGGATCTTCCTAATTCTTACATACAACTGTCTGCTTGTGAATGCAAGTATCTAATGAGCTAGTCACACAGCAACAACTCCATTTGACATTAGCATGACAGCATCTAATGGGAAAGAAAAGTGATTTAAATGACTGTGTGAGGGTTGACAGAGAAATGGTCTGAAAGAGGAAAATATCCAGTGAGCAGCACTTCTCTGGGAAAAATGTCTTCACATCAAAAACTTGAAGCAGATGGACTACAGCAGCAGAAGACCACACTGATACCCACTCCTGTCAGCTAAGAACAGGACATTGAGGCTACAGTTTGTACCGGATCACCAAAACTAGACAGCAGAAAATGTGAAAAGTCTGATGAGTAGATTTCTCCTGCCACATTCAGATGGTGGAGTCAGAACTGGGTGTAAACAACATGAAATCATGGCTCCTTGTGCACAACACGGAGCCTTTGGGGTCACATTTAAGTAGGTACTAGTAGGTATGCAGTGTTGGTAAGGTTACTTTTGAAATGTATTCCACTACAGATTACAGAATACATGTCCCAAAATGTATTTTGTAACGTATTCTGTTACGTTACTCAATGAGAGTAACGTATTCTGAATACTTTGGATTACTTAATATATTATCTTGCTTTTTACAACTAATGAATGTCCTGTTCCTGTGTGATTCATTACTATTACTGAAGGCTGCTCTCAGGCTACTCAATAGCAACTAGATTTTTAAATCTTAATGTAAAATGAGTAACAGTAGGGTGGACATTAGGTAAGGCTGCACTTTTTGCAGCGATCTCGCATAGAAAACTATTCCACGTGTATATAAAACAGGTCCGCGGCTCCGAACCGTAGTAAAGGGACCTCTGGCTAACACGTCGGTTTCCCTGTCGGGCTCGTAGCCGAAAACTAGCTTTACTTTGTTGTCTTGGTCAACTTTGCTGGCGAGAGACAGAGAGAGGCGTTGAAAGGCTGCTCCAGCGGAACTTATTGTTTCGGAGGAAAACAGGAACACAGTGTACAGTCGAGTCTTAACAGCTTACTTACAACTGGGCTCGTCAGGCACTCTTTTTTGGCTGCAGTGGTTATTATTATATTTACATGCTTCCAGCTCCCGTTTCTGCTCGATGACAACTCATACTTTTCCACTTGCCTTTTTTCTCCCTCCCTCGCTCATAGATACATAACGGGTATGGCAGTCCATTCTCCCTGCAGCACGGACTACACTGCCCATGAGGCTACATTCTTTAGGGCTATGCCTGTAACACTCTGCTATTGCGTTCATATTAAATCATTTTAAAAAATATTTCTTCACGTCATTATGAGACTCGAGATTGAGACACGGGCATTTGAGCCTCTTAATGCTGTTTTGTTTGGGATTCCACCTGTGTGGAATTACAAAAAATAGAGAGGGCATAGCCTAACATATGAAACAGGAAAGTGCCGCCACGTAATCCCTTTATTTCAACAAAGTAACTGTATTCTAAATACCACCCTTTTAAACGGTAACGGAATACAGTTACTCATATTTTGTATTTTAAATACGTAACGGCGGTACATGTATTCCGTTACTCCCCAACACTTTAGGTACATACCTTTTCCAGTCTGCAGGGTTAATTTTGAGAATGGGTCTAGTTTAACCAAAATCATAATCTTTTCATGAGCTTAACCAATCTGAGAGTGACACAGGACATGAAACATGGTTTCTGGACTGGCTGCCTTGTGATCTGCGTCACTGCAACACTATCTGCCCAATCTTTAAGTAACTGTTTATTAAAACATACATTTTTAAAAACGATCCATATAGTGTTACTAGATGAATTACAGTGTTTCTTAACCTCAGTTGCGAAGAAATGTTCATGGACAGTTTATAAGCCATTTATTAACAATTTTGTAAGTATCGTTTATTACTGTTAAAATGGTTAAAGAGTTTATGTAGATATATTTACATCTGACATCTGGTCTCCAAACTGTCACATAGGTTAACGATTCTTCTAAACTAGCCAAACTGGTTATTTAAATTTGATCAAGAACAAAGAGTTTTGATTTTATGTAGGAAAACTGGTAGCATGCAATGACTAATGGCAGGAGTGGGTGTGTTACTATACACAGAAATAAGTGTTATGTGATATGGAGCATAGCACACTGTGACTATTGTGCTCCTTGTGTGCTTTTAAATTTGAGAGGCTGAGCCTGATGAAAGCGGGTTTAAGCATTATTGTGCAATGAAGCCTGATCGCTGCCTTGTGACATCAAAGTGAGAGTGCTTCTTATTTGGTCTGATTCTGCTGCTTTTATTCAAATAAGCTGAAAATAGCTGTGCAACATAAGCCCGTCACAAAGAAAACTTTGAGCTTGATAATGCAAACCAAAAAAAGCAAAACAACAGCATGAAGAGCAGAGAGGAAAAACTAACGACTAATGATGAGACTGGCTGTGACTGAAGGTTAAAAAAAAATTGGAAAAGCAACTAAGTGTCAGTTTAAACATGTTCCCCTTGCATAGGAGGAATGTTGGAGGTAGAAAATAATGAACCAAATAAAAAATGTAATGCAGAAAGTCACTTATCTAATAACAGCTTTGCTTTTTTATTGTTTTGTTTCACTTTTTTTAAAATCACTTTAATGTAAAACTCACAACTTAACAGGTGATTTATTAAATCATGGTATGAATGTGACAAAAGCAGCACTTATCCGTTCCATTTGAACCATTGTGTGTACAACAGATCAGACTGGTTTAACTGCAGACCAGCCTGGCATGGCTGTAAGCTACTGTTAATAGGGCAGTCCTAAGAAAATACAAGTACACTCTGCTTTCAAAAAGAAAGATTCATTTTCAGTTTCAAAACTGACCATTACTACAGTACAGTACAATACATGATATACAATGTCCTTGATGTAAAAGGGAATTACATACTGTATATAGATGTGAATATATTCCTTTGTATGGGAAGCCCATCACAGTAGAAGAAAGAAAAGAAGCTGAAGGTCAGAGCCAACTTAGAAACAAGCTTTCTTTGTGTTGACGTCAACAGCTCATCATTTTCCTTCTGTATCAATCTCAGCTGTCCATTTGAAGAGCAGGTAGAGTCTCTATGCAGCCTTGTGAAAACTCATTAGACCCCATGATTCAGCAGCTTGCAGAGCCCCCTTTAGCAGGAATAACTATTTTCTGTATGACTTTATTGGTCTCTCAGGAATTTTGACCCATATTTCTTTACAGCATTGCTTCAGGTCATTTATGTTTGCAGACAAATATTTATTTTCGGGCTCTTAAAGTTCCTCCAGAGTATTTCAATCAAGTTGAGGTCTGGACTTTGACTGAGCCCCTGTAACACCAACAATTCTTCTAATCTGTGAACCAGTCTCAGCCAAGCTTGAGCTGTTTAGAAATATTGTTAACTCATCATAATCTCATTATTAACTCCACAACACTTTATATATGCATGCGGAGGAGTTCATGATTGATCAGTGAATGCAACATGCCCATGTCCTGTGGCTGAATGTAAGTCCAAATAATCACTTTTCTACCGCTACACTGACAGTTGGTATGAGGTGCTTGTGGTGTTGTACATTATGGGCAAACATCTCAACTTTGTTTTTGTCTGTCCAAAGGTTTGTCCTGA